GTCATTGAAGCAGGACACTGAAGACTTCTTTGGCATGGGGCCGATGGTGGTGGTCTTGGAATGATGGCGTTGCTCTGGGAGATGAAGATGTCAGTGTAAACATCTGCTAGTTGGTCTGAACATTCTCTGAGCGCTTTTCCAGGGATATTGTCTGGTCCATTGTCTGTCACCGCTGTCCTGGAAGCGGCTGTGGGCTTTGCCGCTTCGATGGGTCGGGACTGTTTGGATCTTGCTGTATCAAAGGCCTCCTTGTTGCCTGATCTATGTGCAGTATCTCAGGTCTCCATCAGTGCACACAGCTCCAACACACTGCAGGGCGCACACACAGGGCCAGCTTAGATTTGCCAATTAACCTACCCTCAGCAAAAACCCACATGAACACAGGGAAAGCATGTGAACTCCACCCAGGACGGCCCTACACCCAACCCAGGGCACAAACCCAGGACAAACTTCCTGCAAGGCAGCAGTGCAAGCATGTGGTCTGAGTAGCCAGAGTGGTGGCTTTTTAAGCAGAGGAAGCTGGCCAAAAAAACAAAAAAATGAAAAGGCATCACTTGCCAAAAAACACTGTGGGATTTAACTTGAAATGTTCTGATGGCGAAGTATAATTTCGAAACACTGTCAATCAAAAAGAGGTGCCGCCCCTTTGACAGATTCTCCAATCAGCATGCAGCAGCCCAGTGCCCTGGCCAGCCCCATGCCCCATTTACACCCAGAGACGTTGAGCTTCCCTGGAAATCATGTTTTGAAACACTTGTCTGATAAACATCTAGCTTTGCTGCACTGATGACAGAATTGCCATTGAAGTCCAGCAAAGATGCTCTTCAGTGTGTTTTATTGGGTCATGCCTCTACGGGAATGTAATGTATGAGAAACGAAACCACATTAAATGACCTGCGAGAAGTTTTTGCAGAATCTGAACAAACTGGCCATGAAGTTGAACGTGTTCTAGCATGCTCTTTGTAATAGCAATGCAAACACAACAGAACATCCATCCATCACCATAACCTCTTAATCCCAATCCTGGGAACAACGGGCACAGGCAGGAACCAACCCTGGGCAGGCGCCAACACACTGCAGGGCACACACACAGGGCCAACTTAGATTTGCCAATTAACCTATCATACACACTTTTGGACTATGGGAGGGAACCAGAGCCCCCAGCAAAAGCCCACAATTAACACAGGGAAAGCATGCAAACTCCACCCAGAAAGGCCCTACACCCAACCCAGGGCATTCTCTACACCCAACCCAGGGCATTCTCTACACCCAACCCAGGGCATTCTTACTGCAAGGCACCAGTGCTAACCACTGCACCACTGTGCCACCCCACCACAGAACCTACTTGATCAAATTTTTTGTGACCTTTTACAGGAGGGGGAGCTTCCCTTGCAGTATTAAAGCAGCCGCTGCTCTCTGGGGTATGCGGGCGAGGGTACGCGGGGGGGGGGGATGGGTACGTGGCGGGATGTTTGTGTAAACAAGATCCAGTGCGTCCTCCCCTCTAATTCCAAAGTCTGCATAGTGGTGGACTTTAGGGAATAATTTATGCGACATAAGTTATATGCATGCGCTATAAATACCTTCATATTGCATTAAAATGGCTTATACTTAAGCAATAACATACAAGAAGGAGTGTGGTTGTACTCCAAGATAGAGTACAACCACATAAAGAGTAAACTCACTTACACACAGACTGGGGAGCCTTTACGGAGATAAAAGTGGATACAAACAATAGGGACATAGCGCAGCAAGTCATACTTTGAAAACATCGGCAGCTTACAAAAACTTAAAATCTGAAGCAGATCAAAATAAGACATCCAGCTTTGTGATTCAGGCCACTGTTCTCTGCTTAGTTTAGGGTACATCAGTTTAAATGGACTTTATCTTTGTTCACTTACAATTAACCCAGACTACCTTAAATACAAGTTACCGACCAATCACGTCTTGTGTGTGCCAGATAGACTGCTGCAGATACGCTCACAACAGACCATAACAAATGTGTGTGCAAAATAATGTCTTGGCCTGTCTTACATGCACACAGAGCTATGAAGGATGTCAACAGCAGCGTAACCAGGCAATATAATGGGAATGTGGTTCACACATCAACTGTGTAAGAAATGAAGCGTGATGGGCTGCATCAGAGGCAGGGGGGGGGAGTATCACAGCTTCAGTAACACCTACAAGCACTTCTGATTCTGTGAACTGGTAACACATCAAGCTCAGAAAACGAGAAGCCACGACTTGCTGGGTACATGTCGATGTCTGTTTCCGCTCATCTGTTTTTATTTGACACCTAACAAAACAGACCTCTGATCATCTGAAAAATCAGTCAACTTACTGATTCTCTGGGAAAAGCTAATATTGGGTATTACTGCTGTAATTTGTCTGCAGCTATAGTATGGATTCTCATTAAAAACAGTCAGTACATTATTAAACCACCCGTCCTACATCCGGTAAGTCGTTACCCAGTTCAGGGTGACACTGACCCTGGAGCCTCAGAGCATATATCTATGGGCAGTTTAGGCACACATATTCAACCACATGTTGGAATGTAGGAGAAACTGAAGACCTGTGAACATGGGGAGAAGGTGCAACTTCTATACACACACCCAAGGCGGGGGTGGGGGCTCTATTGCATTGTCTGTGGCTCAGTGGGTTAACCCAGTGTGGCTGAAAACAAAAGGTCATTGGTTCAGATCTTGGGGCAGGTAAAGTAATTTCACCATTAGGCTCCTATGCAAGGTCCTTAACTCTCAGTTACCTCAAGGAGTGTCTGACCCTGCCTTTATATAAAAAAAAAAGTATATTGCTTTGAACAAAAGTGTCTGTTTAATAAATACAATGTGCAGTTTTAAATTACACTGTACAACTTATGTTGTCAATGCTTTCAGGAAAATGCACCAAGCAGACAATCAATGAGCGTAATACTTCCTGTGTAGCACTACTTCCCACAGGAAAAACCAAAATATTATAGCTCAGTCCACAGAGCCATTTTAAGATACACATTGTAGTGCTTGTACAGGTGGGACAGCAAAGAGGACCATATAACACAGAGATGGCCGGAAATATAATCAAAATATAATATGATGTAGGAGTGTTGATCGGCTCATCAAAATGATGACGAGGAAGAAAATAATGAGACGGATTTTGGTTTGGATTGCTGGTTTGTTTGATTGAGAATGTGAATGACTGTAGGCTACCTGTTACTCCCGCTCTGTCTCATACACTCACCCAAAAGCACATCCATAAATAAACCATGAAATATTTTTGACTTGTTTGTTCTTGTTTCGTGTTTGGTGCGCATCTATCTATCAGCAACAGCAAGAAACAATGATAGGAGCAGAGTGATGGACAGATATGGTGCAGAATCACACTGAAAGCGGCGAGAGTGGATTGCAGCCCAATGTCCTGGCATCGCCATTGTCCATTGTGAAGCGATGTCAATCTGGGCTGGACCAGTTCTGCTAAAGCTCACAAAGGCGGGAAAAACATAAACATATCGTCACCCTGACCACAGCTGTGCCCAGTATGCTGAACCAGATCTCAGTCTCTGAGCAGAAATGCAGAAATAGTGTAGCGTTGAGAGAATGGAGTTAGAGCACAGTATTCAGAAAGCCCAGTACCCTGTTCTGTATACATGGTCTCCTTTAAGGTATAGGGTAACCGACATTTTCTTTTTATCGTCATCATTTTTTGACGGACATATTTAGTTCTGTTCTTGCCATTCTGCTATTAATTGCAATTGTGGTCATTGACTCCCAACGGGATACTAAAGAGGAAGGTTTGGCATTTTGTGTTATTGCAGAGGTGTTATTAATTGAAAGAACCCAATCAGACTGCTTGTCAGTGAACTCAGAACAGCTGTTTAAGAACTTTTATTTGGGGTTCAGTTTATTACTACTTGAAATGAATGTTTTACTTTAATTACTGGTTGTTTCCAATGTGATATGTACTTTTTTTGTTAAAAAAAAATAATTAAATTATGATTTTTGTTATGAAACCAAAAACATTGCAATGCTTTTACTGAATTAAGCAAGCCCCCAGGACTTTCTCTGGGCACTGTAAATGTATATATGTGTGTATATATGCATATATATATTGTGTATCTGCTTAGAAATATATAGGTTTTTGTCTATCTATATGGGTTTTGGAGCTGGTGATCTGTTTGCAGTAACATTTTGAATCAAACAACCCTCTCAAAGACGCCGTTGATGTTAATTCATCAGCGTTGATTCTTAATGATCACCATAAAATCACAGGCACCGTGTCACGATGAGAGACAACTTCTCTGCTAGACGCCGAATAGCTTGTGACCCTATAACCCCTCGTGTGAAGCTCACATGTACTGAAACAGGAAGGGAAACTAGGTTGCTGAAAAAATAAATGGTTTAGAAAGCAAAACAATTACTGGTTTAGCAGAAACCAAGAAAACCCTAATAAGTATATTTATTTCGTGTGGATGTCCCAGTGAGCCGGTGTTCTGACAAAACGTCCTACTTTATCAAAACATCCTACCGTAGTGCTGATAGATAGCCCTAACCCTAACTCTTACCTTAACCCTAACCCCCCAAAAACCCCTAAAACTCTTACCTTAACCCTAACCCTAACCCCTAAAACCTAACCCTAATCCCAAGACGGTGGAACTGCACATGCGCAGAAAGGCTCGATAGCACGTCTCGATAGGTAGGATGTTTTGTCAGAACACCGGTTTGCCGAAGTACAAATGCTCAGTATTAGGCAACAAATACATTTATAAGTATACAAATGTATACTTTTTATATCTGAATATTTAATATAAGTATAAATACGGTTTTGCATTTAAATAAATTTAATTACAATGTTTCATTAGTTAATTCTTTACAACGTTGTAATGCCTGGTTTAATAGGTGATGTAATATCTGGTCTGGACGAATTTTGACGCACTTTCCACGATGATTCAATCGCGCCGGTTTGTCCTTAAAGAGACAGCCCACTGAATTTGCACACGCCCCCCTCACTTGACCACGGCGTGCTACGGGTGTGTCTTCTAGTTGCACTTTCGACACACTGCTTGAAAGAGGTCACTGTGGTTGGGAGAGGGTTTGGTTGGAGTAATAAAGAAGAGCGCATATTGTCGGGGGAGAGCAGATCTCGGGTAGCGGATCTCGGGCCGTTTGCCAAGGCTTACGGGGCGTCAGACTTTCCCGGCGACAAGGGAAAACTGGGACCTGATCCCACACAGAAAGCAGGAATTTCAGTAGCAGTTATAATAATATATTGCATTTAAGCCGAACGCACAACTGGGAGGACAGCACAAAGTAAACAGTGTTATATTCAGGAGTATTTCTGTACTTCTTCTTTTGTTTCACGATGGATCACAAGATGTATCTTCTGTCTCTGGGTGAGTTGGACTCCTTGTCACTGTTTTTCATTAGAAATGGCAGGAGTGCGGTCGCCATCACTGCCCCTCAGTCCGCCTAGAGTGACACCGAATCAGTTTGTTGATACGATGGTGTTTTGGTCCGGTGCCGGAGATATTCCTTTAAGTGTGATACATTGAACGTTTTGGAAAGTCCAAAACTTTAAACTGATTCCATAACTAGCCTTATCTGTAACTATGATGTCATACCGAAATGGTTTTACAGAATTTCTCTATTTCTCGTATCAATGTTTCTTTGCGGTACCAGATACCAAAATAGTTCGTTTCCCTGACTCTCTCCCCACCCCCACACGAACATATCTGTATATATTATGTATGTTCGTATATATATAATTAATAATGATTATAATATAAATACATAATATAATTACAATTACAATTAATATATATATAATAATTTGTATAATTTATATAATTTGTATATAACAAAATTATTTTTTACAGTAGGTACAGATGCTCTTTGCTTTACGATGGTTCGACTTACAATATTTCAACTTTACGACTGTGCGATAGTGATTCCCAATCAGGACTCCACTTTGAATTCCGATCTGTTCCGTCCAGCAATACGCTGTTCGATGTCGAGCAACGGCAGCGTCCACGCAGCCACGGCGATCGCGAGTATGAATATCTAATACAGTTTTTACCAACGTATTGTACTGATTTTTTTTATGTAACCAAATAAACTTGCATTAATTTATTTACTTTTCAATTACTGATATTTAATCAGTTACAGTAATTATTTACTTATTGAATGACAGTAGGTATTTACTCATCGTATCATATTCATATTCGACTTAAGATATTTCCCACTTACGATGGGGTTACGTTCTGATGAACAAGCAACACCTGTATGCAGGTTTTATTTTACAGTACTTGACTGGGTCATGTTTAGTCTCTTGGGTGTTTGAAACCCTTCCGGCAACGTTGATACATTCCTGGATCTTGTCCAGTCGACATGGCAGCATTGACTGGCCACCTCGTTCACCCGACCGGACATCCATGGACTCTTTTTTGGGGATGTAGTAGAGTTTTTCAGAGGAAGCCCCACGCAGTAGATGAACGGAGGGAGCATTTTTGGACCTTAATGCTAACCAGGATTTGTGTGCTAAAGTGTGTCACGTAAAAGAAAAACTGTATACTTACTTTTGGCCCGCCCCTGCGTGTGTGTGTGTATGTATATATATATATATATATAAAAATATATATATATATTAGGGCGGTCCACGGCACTATGGAAAATTTTGAATTTCATTAAAACCCGCCTCCACAAGTTTAAATATGTTCTATCAGATGTAGTAAAGATATGATGTAAATATGGAGCAAATTGAACTACATTTAGAGGTCGCTCAAGGTCCCACAAGTTTGTTGTG